AGTTTGAACTGTTTATCGTTTGTTTTATTCGCGTTTTCGCAGCTTCCCTATTAAATTCGGTCATGCAGCAGACTCTTTAGCCACTCAGTCCGACTGAGGGGGTGTGTTCCAGCGGGAAAGTGATGTCAATGCATACCCTCTGTGGCATTACATTTGTAAAATATGCCTACACTCCTTACTATAATGCTAAATAAATGCAATTGTAAAATATGTATTAATTATTTATATTGTAGTATAAATATTTATAGTATTTTACTACATTTCATTTATATGCTTGCTTTAATACTAATAATAATAATTTGTAAAGGCTGATAATTATCAGTGAGAATTAGGGGTGAAACTGCTTAATTGAATGTCACACTGTAAAACATCAAACAGTCTGGCACCCTTTAAGCAAAATCAAGCGTAGCGTTAGTTCTGGCAGGTCACATTAGTCAAGCTCACATCAGCTGACTCTCAGCTGATCCCCATCTACCTATAGGAATACGACATCTATCTAAGCATTCATATACTGTATAAGGTCCCTCTGTATTATCAGCAGTTACCGCATTGCTCAATAGCTATTTACCCTCCTCCATCCCCAGCTCCTCCTCTGTCAGTAAGGATTCAGCCTTCTGATTATCCTTTGAATCAGACTAATTCTAAAATGTGTACATAAAATTATTGAACTTTAACGATATCTGCAATACATTTATGTTGGTTCTGTTCTGTTTACCCTGGGGGGGGTTATCACTGCTCTCCCTGCTCTCATCCATGCTAGGCTGCATGGATGTGCAGGGAGTTCTTGCCCAGAACAGAACCATACCGCAAATTCCAACTTGTATGCTAATTGTCAATCATCTTTGACGATAGTGGTCCTGACAGAAATAGAATTTCTAGTTTTTTAGGTTGGTATTTGAGGTGTTGGTATATCCGCGGTTGTTGTGTGTGACCAATGTCTGCTTTTAAGACCAATTTAATTAACCCTACATTGATTTCCAACCCAAAGTGATAATAGTAGATGCAGTCTAAAAGCTTAATGTGACTAGAGCATCTTTTCCATTTAGATGATTGGTGTGTTGCACAGGCGGCAGCAGGATGGGACATGCTGTTGGTAATTACTGAGGAATGCAACAGTAGAAGACAAGCAGCTCTCTTACACTAGCAATAAACAAAACAAGACACCCTACAGCACTTCAGCGTGTGTGTGTGTGTGTGTGTGTGTACTTAGACTATTACATGTCGATGCAATGAACACGTCATGTATGACATGTATGCGCAGCATACTAGAGTTTCTGGTATTCTGTCAATTTGTGGGAAAATTACACTTAAAACCACACTAATTCTGTTTTGTTTCATTCTGTTTCTTAAAATATATGAGTATGTGCCTGTTTCAATGGACAGAGAAGCGCATGGCTCTTTTCTCTGGACTGAAAGCATACTCCCAATTATTGATCACTCCTTTACTCTTTAACCCATTAGCTCAGTAAACAAGACAGTGCGATTCACAGACTCCCTGTGGACCTGTTGTGTTTATTCCTTCCACACATGTAGTAGTTTTAGTGCTGCTCTTCAGTTGGAAACTACATTGGCTTTTATATGTAGTTTAACTCTTCGTGTTTTTGAACAAACAACTTTTCTTTTTTTTTACTTCATTAGAATAGTACAAAACTTGGTAATGGTTTTGGTCTTTGTTATGTGAACACAAAACACACACACACAAAATCATGGGCATGATTCAAAAAGGTTAAATGGCCCTGAAAAAAATAGTAAAAAATGACTACTGGAAACGAATGGGAAGTGAATTTCTTAGTCCAAACATTTGGTACTGCACCCAAACAAAATCTTACTGAAAGCTGTTTTTTTGTGATATCAACCTCAAATTCGGAACACAATTTGTTTAGATTTATGGCTTTGATTTTCTCAGATTTTTTGTAAAACATGTTTTGGAAAAATATTTTTTACTTATGCAATTTAAAATTAGTATTTTTGTGCATTTTTTCATAATACTAAACTTGAACTGTCATAAAAAAAAAAATTCAGTTTCACTTTTTTTATTTACTTTTTTCACTTCAGCAATAATCTGCCAAGTGCCTTCTTTAAAAAAATAGAGAGAGAGACTGAACTTAAGTCTGTGCTCCACAGCAATATTTAAAATTCAATATTTACAACAGGTCTATGCTTAAAAAGTGGTTAATAGGTATATATATATAAGGCATAAACATAATTTAGCACCATAAAATGCCCTTAAAACACAAAATATTAAATAAAAAATTAACTAAAATATAGCACATTCATTACTTGGGGAAAAAAAACACATTTTTGACCACCATGCAACAAAAACAACCATCATGCATTAAATATGCAAAGTGGTTCTGAAAGCACCTGCTTTTCTTTGGAAAGCATCGTGTGGAATGACTGTGATTCATGGAGAGTGTGGAATCATCAAAGTCTTGATCTTGTGGTCAAATGATTTTGAATTGTCATAGTCTGACGGTATATGCAGTGCAATGTGAAGGATTCTAAAGAAATAAATACTGTTTGTGAAACAGCACAGTCGTGATCATATGTACTAGACGGCGACTGCACAGTCATGTAAATGGCAGGTATAATCTAGTCATTTGAAAGGTAAATACCTTCAACGGTTCTCAAGACCATTGCGTAATGTTTCCTAGCGCAGCCATGACTCACATCCTAATGACAGCACGCTTGTGTTCCGTCTTTGCCGTATTTTAGCTGGTATGTGTTATTTGTGTTGTACGACTCCAAACTAGTTGTGTGTTTGTCACAGGAAACTGACACCAGTAATTTTTCAGCTGAATCTTTACTTCACCACAGTCACCTATGTCCTATATTGTAAGATGAGTAATATGGTAATATGGTAAATAAAGAAGGTGATGTTGGGGAGCAGGTCATGAACTGATGTTTAAGTTTCAAGTTTAATTTATTTATATTGCACCTTTTACAGCAGCAGCAGCTGACCAATAGATAAAATCTCAGCTGAAAACCAAATTATATCAACATTTAAAAGATATAACAAAATATAAGAAATAAAACCAGGATTGTCATCAAAAATCGAATACAGAGATGGGACATTGAAAGCGATGGCAAAGTAATGCATTTTGAGTAGAGATTTAAAAACCTGTAAAGTAGGAGCAGGTCTAACATGAACTGGTAGGCTATTCCAGAGTTTAGGGCCTACAACAGCGAAGGCACGTTCACCCCTTTTCTGTAATTTAACTCTAGGAGCCATCTAAGACTACTAGATCTAAGAGCTCGAGAGGGGTTATGTAAGAAAAGCAGTTCAGATAAATATGAGGGAGCTAGGTTATTTAAAGACTTAAAGACAAAAACAAGGATTTTAAACTTCACTCTAAAATGCACAGGCAGCCAATACAGAGAAGTTAAGACAGGATTGATATGGGTAAATTTCTGTAGGCCCATTAAGAGTCTTGCTGATGCATTTTGGACCAACTGGAGACGGGCCAAGGTAGTGGTATTCATTCCACAATAGTTACAGTAATCTAAACGTGATGATATAAAAACATGAATTACTCTCTCAAAATCTTGAAAAGAGAGGAAAGGCTTGATTTTAGAGAGAAGACGGAGATGAAAGAAACAAGAGTTAACCACAGAATTTACTTGACTGTCAAGTTTCAGCTCACTGTCAAGCAGAACACCTTGGTTTTGGGGTTTTGGCTTGGGATGAAACAAAATGATTACTCAGATATTTTAAGGGAATGCCACTAGGGGGACCAAAAAGTATAATTTCAGTTTTCTTTTCATTAAGGTTGAGAAAATTTGATGACATCCTGATTTTGATGTCCTTCATACAAGCCAACAAAGTGTCAATATTAAATAATTTATGCATCACTAAATTATAATATATTAGAAATACAAGAAATAGCGCACTTAAAGGGTTAAAACTTTTGTCAGCTGTGAGCTGTCTCTCTAAATTAGCAATTAGATTACAGCATATATATATATATATATATATATACAGTGGGGCAAATAAGTGAGAGGTTGGAGTCTGATTGATTGAGTGTGTGGACCGGTGTCTTTTATACAGGTAACAAGTTCAAACAGGTGCAATTAATACAGGTAATGAGTGGAGGATAGGAGGGCTTCTTAAAGACAAACTAACAGGTCTGTGAGAGCTAGAATTCTTGCTGGTTGGTAGGTGATCAAATACTTATTTCATGCAATAAAATGGAAATTAATTATTTAAAAATCATACAATGTGATTTTCTGGATTTTTTTTTTGATTCTGTCTCTCACAGTTGAGGTGTACCTACGATGAAAATTACAGATCTCTCCATTCTTTGTAAGTGGGAAAACTTGAAAAATCAGCAGTGTATCAAATACTTATTTGCCCCACTGTATATTATATGGCAAGAGAGTCAACACTTTTTTCCAATTTAGAGCTGTCTCTCTTAATGAGCGTTAGGTTATGGCAATAGATATTATACAAAAAAATTAAAATCATTAATAATGGCTGACAAATATGGTTCCAAATTTGCAAACCATTTAAGTTGAGTTGAGTTTTTGACACAAAAAGTAGCAATACACGGTTACAACCTTCTTGTCAAGGATGACACAAAAAAGTTATAGTAACTATTTCCATTGTGGTCCTTGCTTTAAAAGCATATGAAAGATTCACAGAGTAAATCTGACATGATTCAACAATTGTTTAACCTCACGCTGGTTTATAGAAAAATTAGTGTCATTTTATAAATTGCAGCTTTGGTATTTTATAATCTCAATGTGTAACCAGTAGCTTATGTTTATGAATCTGTTGCACAAAATGGTCACTTCCTCCACCGCTACCCACAAAACCGTTTCTCACAGGCCTCGGTCTGCCATTGCTGCCATGCAAACTGCACAGTGTGGTTTATTTGTGAGAAGCAGAACACTTAATATAGTACTGAAAGTTTGGTTTGGCACAGTTTAATATTGTAGGTCACTGTAAGCACAGCCCGTATGCCAGTAACAATGTTTTCCGTACAGATGTAGATCTCTGAGTGATCAAAAGTGCGACAAATCAGCGACAGGAAAATCCCATATTGGTAAGTATGGTCTGACATTTAATAAATTGAGTTTCAAAAGGCTATGTTGCCCACATGCCAGAAGGCTTTCGATTTGTTTGGCCATGGTCGAGAGGTTAAATCAATGTTTTATGAGGGACTAATGTTAGCCTCCATTAGAATGAGACAGCTTAATTTATTTTCACAGTGAATATGGTCATAGATTGCTCTTGTGTCCATTATAGTTTGAAGCTTTCCATTAAAGACAAAGGTTGTGCACTTAGCAATCAGTTGTTTCACTGTTGAGGTTGGTTTTTCTGTAATCATTCATGATAATTATTTATGAAGCACAAAAGCTAAGCTAGTCTCATTCATAAGCTTTATACTGTAACGGTAACTTGTGCTTTTACAGTATGTATATCTTTTTGTGTGTAGGTAGTAATAATATTAATTATATAACAATTATAATTGATGATTTTTTATATAAAAACAACAGTGGCATTATGTAAACAAGCTGGCATTTAAAGGGTTAAAATTCTGAAAATGAATGAATTTTGGTAGTTATGATCAGGACTGATGTATAAAATAATAAAATAAATATTAATATATAATATTTTTATTTCAGTTTTTTGACATGGATATTTTTGTCCACTAAGGAGCCCGGTGTAACTTTTTTAAAACTGACACACAAGAATTAAACTTGACTGTAAATGTTTTATTGTTCATGAGCTGGAAAAATCATTCTGAGAGCGATTTTAACTTTATCATTCTTCTGTATGAAAGATTCATAAAACTTTGTTATGGTTGTTATCATTATATGGGCCTTAAGAATGTATTTCTATAAACTAATAATCATGCTACTTGACATTTGGTTAAACGTTTTAAAACCTTGATTAAAATATGTCGACATGATTTTCAAAATTTCAAGACTAAATTTGAATGTCAATAAAGTTTAATTAATCCTTTAGTATGAGCAATAATAATAATGATGCACGACTGTCATCCCTTTAGAATATATATTTAGTATATTTTTGAAATATGAACATATGAAGTGACCACATCATTTTCTTAATTACATTTTATCTAAACATTTTTTTCCGTTTGACGTTTTTCAGTTATTTTGTAGCAGTGCTGGCTGACAGTATCTTCGTCGGCTATCGTATGAGAACACTTTGGTGCCTCCTCGTCTTCCCATAATGAAAACAGACACAGAAACTTTGTCATAATGACGTATGGTAGTACTTTATAAACCCTTGATCTGTCCTTCAGATGGGATGGCTCTGATATGAAGAATGAGTGTTTATCAATTCTGGCGATATCACCTCCTCTCATTCTTGAGCCTGAAATACACTCTTTCATATTTGATCAAAACAACCAGGGTCAAACACAACAGGATGACATCTGCTACATGGGTATAAAAAGGCTAAAATATAAATGTTACACTAAATACAAAAATAAGTTACACTCATTCACTGCACAAATTGTTGTATTTTTATTATATATATATATATATATATATATTAGTGGACATAATATTGTACTAATATAGGCTATATATATATATTTACAGGAATTACTCTGGAATTTCAAGCTTTAAAAAAAACATTAGTCTGTATGCAGGTTTGATGATTTTCATTTTAACATTAATTAACATTAAAGCTGTTTATCTATGAATAATTACATAAATGTCAATCTGTTTCTCGCATAACGCTGTCATATGACTTTCAGTTTGGTTGTATTTTCTCCTAAGTTTGTGTCGGAAGCATTTCTTGGCCCTGCAAATGTATTCATAATCATAACATTGTTGTGGTCTTGAGTGAGATTGAAAGGCTGAGCTTTCTGTCTGTTCTGGAGCTTGTGTATGCCTTCATCTAGTGGTGAAAGTGGATAATGTTTTATTTTACTGAATGGCATCAGAAGAGTACAGGTTGAACAGGGCGGGTTTAACTTTCTCAAGTTCTTACAGAGAAGTCACACTGTTCCTATCTGTCACTCAGGTACTCGCATCTCTCCGTATAGTATGGATTTCTATAACTTTAGGCGGCCTTTGCTCATTTTGGCTGCTCTTGGTAAGTTCAAATCAAAAATCAAGGACAAATGCTATTCAGCACATTTAGATTTTTAAAATGTTAATTTCAAAAAATTTAAACAGTAGCCTAGACAAGGACATAATGTGTAGGCTAATGTGTGGTTTTATGTTTATCCTTTATTATTATATTTTGACTGAAAATCGTTCCTCTTATAGGATGCTGTTCTGAGGGCAAAACCAAACACCAAAACGAACGGTGTTATCGGTGAGTCGATGTATGGTTTATCCATGGTTATCCAAAATAATTTTGATCAATTATTTATTAGTCCATTATTATTTGTAAAAAATGTATGCCAAATCAAAGTCAGTGTGGCATAACAAAGCCATTTTGTTGTCCTGTGAAAAGAAAACCTGTTGTGTACTCACATGCAGTGTTGGGGGTAACGCATTACAAGTAACGCGAGTTATGTAATCAGATTACTTTTTTCAAGTAACTAATAAAGTAACGCATTACTTTTTAATTTACAAGAGAATATCTGAGTTACTTTTTCAAATATGTAACGCAAGTTACTTTTTTTCCCCCAATTTATTGATTGACAGCTCTCCTGTCCCCATGTTGAGAAATCAGAAGATGCTACTGTAGTTCTAAAATAAATATGAATATGCATTCATTCATCTCACTCACAACAACAAAACAAAACACAGATTCAGTATTCCTCAAAATGAATAAAAGTAATGCAACTCAGAATATGATGCAAACCTACAATAGTTAAATGTTAAACAACACAAATATCCTTTATGTATTTAATCCCATTATGTTAAACAATGTCTTCGATGATCCAGTTCAACCGTACAAATTACACAAATTACTCTAGACAAAAAAAAGTGTGTTTTTTTTATTGCTGAAGTGTGTTGAAATTTCTTCTGCGTTCTACTGTATGGACATAAATTAACTTTCCCTTCAGCCTGAGGCTTATTCATTTCACTTTTGGTGTGAAAAGGCTTTTATATTTGCCAAAAATAGAACTTTTTTATTTTAAAAACAAACAAGCAAGCCCTGTCCAGATTTAAAAAGTAATGCAAAAGTAACGTAACTCATTACTTTCCATAAAAAGTAACTAAGTAACGAGATTAGTTACTTTTTTATGGAGTAACGCAATATTGTAATGCATTACTTTTAAAAGTAACTTTCCTCAACACTGCTCACATGTATTCAAGGTGCAAGAATAGTATCTGAGTACTTTCAATGGATGGTTGCACCGCCATCTGTTCATTAAATCAAAAGTCATTAAATGAAAATATTCATTAAAATGTATGAAGCTATTAATTAAATGTTAGATACATTTCTAAGAACTTAGCAGGGGTGTTTTAATCTCGATTTCTCCTTACCTTATTGAACCAGGTAAAAATGTGACCTTCAAGACAACAATCACCTCAACACAGGATTTTCTAACCGTAACATGGCATTTCAACAAAGATCCAGTAATTGCACCGATAATTACAAGTGTCCTAGTAACGAACACCGATAACATTGATGAGAAATACACCAGCAGAATCATCTACAATAACGCGACGTGTGAGCTTCAGCTCGGTCCGCTGGTGAAGGAGGATGAAGGGGAATATATTCTCAATATAGTCACTACCAAAGGACAGCAACTGTCCGGACAGATTGATCTTGAGGTTCTTGGTAAGTATTGACTATCCAGTGCAATCTTCAGGTATACTGTATCGTTACAGACTAGACACCATGTTGGTGAAGCCTAGTGTTTGAAGGTCTGAAGATGAATGAAAGGTTGAAGGTTCAAGTCCTCCACAAATTTGTTAAAAGTGTTAGTTGAATACAGAATGTAATCTTTTTAGTAGTTCTTTAAGACAGAGTTGCACTGAATAACAAACAAAAAACAGTGGGTTAATTTTGGATGATATGGAGTTTGCATTGACGATGAATATGATTAAATCAACCCAAATGGATAATAGTGATGACTCATTTTGTGACTTGCTTTAAACATATGATTTGCAGTATGCTTCATTTTAAAGACATTCATTCAGTGACTGGAAATCAATCGTATAAAGATATTTTAGATCTGTCTAGGAGACTTTCATGATGTAAGATGTATGTTGTCAAATCTCAGGGTTGGTTATCCAGAGGTTGTTGAATGGAGCAAATATGTTTCTGAATGAACCCAATCCATGGTTCTCTTCTCTTTTCTCCAGAACCTGTAACTGACGTCAAGATTTCGTCCAATCTACCTGAAGCTGTAGAGTTCAACAGCACTGTGGTTCTTTCCTGCTCTGCCAAAGGCTCCTTTACTTACGAGTGGCTGAACGGTTCAGTCCCTTTGGTGGTGGATGGCACACATATGAAACTAAATGCAGTCGGCGATGAGCTAACTATCGCTGAAGTTCGCCGTACAGATCTGCGAGGACCCATCGTCTGCATTGCAGAAAATGCACTGGAGTCAGGGAGGAGCGCTCCCTTCAATCTCACTGTGTGCTGTACGTACCTGATCACACCCACACAGGCTTAGCGTGAGACATGAATACATGAACACCGTTTACCTAAAAATTGCCATTATTCACTCAGCATCATATTGTTTCAAATCCACATGAAGTGTTTTATGTTTATGCAGTACTTTCCTTGCAGTGACAGTTCATAGTGACCATGTCTTTCAATATACATGAAGTTATAGGGAAGAATTTCAGTTTTAAAAAGTGACTTAAAAATTCGGTCTGTTCCTCAGTTATTGTATGAAATCAGATATAAATATTTTTCATGTTGAAAATAAATCATGCAAATAGCTAGCTATAACACGTACACGGGCAGTCTAGAAACACAAGCAAGATAGTTGCTCGATAGTGTAAAGATTTATTAAGTGAAGCAAGGCAAAACAAAAGGTCAGGCAACAGGGATCCAAAAAAGTACAAAAACACAAAGTAAAAACAAACCAAAACCAGGAACACAGAACAGAACTGAAACCAAAGTTTCAAGCAACAACAACTGACCAAGTACAAGGGAAAACACAGACAGAGGGCTAATATGGAAAGAAGAAACACCTGAAAACAATGACAGGCTAATTAACAGAAAAACTACAAACTGAGTGATTACAAGAACACACCAGACAGGAAGTAACTTAAAAGTCCTTAAAACAAAAATACAAGGTACAAAAAACAAGAGGCATGTAAAAAAATATTGCCACAATTTTCAATTTTGCCTGAACTATTCCAATGAAAATCTTGGATTTCCATTAATGGTGGAATTGTGTTCTGCAAATACATTGTTTGATCATAAAGTAAATTCACTGCACCAGTCTCTTGAGTCTTAGACTATCATTGTTTTCTAAAAACATAGTTGAAATAAGATTCATTGGCCTAAATTGAAACTATAACCACATTCTGATACTCAAATACATGCTCCTCATTTAAACATACCATTTACAAAATCTTGATACATTGGGGATGTGAAATGGTGTAACATGGCACAACATTTGATGTTCTTCCAGTGAAAATTTGTTATTTCTTGTTAAGCGTTTTAAATGGATTGGGGGGTTTTAAGACTAGTCTTAAATTCATCAAAAAATCCATAAAACATAGCTGCATTGCAAGCACTTTAATCATCTCTTTCTCCCATGTCTGTCTAGATGGCCCTGAGAAAGTCATCATGACACAAACTCCAACAGATTCATTCCTCAAGAATGGTTCTAACTTAACCCTTGCATGCTCAGCCCAGTCTGACCCTCCCGCTCAGCTCCAGTGGATGTTTAATGGGGAGGAGATGCCTCAGAAGACCACGGCCAACATTACCCTCACCAATGTAGAGGGAAAACACAGTGGGAACTATAGCTGTGTGGCCTACAATGCAAAGACCAACCGCTACGTTTCCTCGCAGGTTGCTGTGGTGTCTGTTCTGGGTAAGTCAGAAGCCTAAAGTCATGTACAGATGCTTTGAATACAAATAGAAGTTGCATCAATTGTGCATTGTTTATCTAGTACTACTATTACAGCAGTCTGAGTAAATGCAAATACATACAGTGCTGTGAAAAAGTTTTTTTTTTTTGCATATTTGTCACACTTAAAAGATTCAGATCATCAAACTAATTTTAATATTACACAAAGATAACCTGAGTAAATACAAAATGCAGTTTTGAAATAATGATTTCATTTATTAAGGGAAAAAGCTGTCCAAACCTGCCTGGCCCTACGTGAAAAAGTAATTAAATCTAATAACTCTGTTTGTGCCACCCTTTGCAGCAACAACTGCAATCAAGCGTTTGCGATAATTTGCGACGTTTCCACTCTTCTTTGCAGAATTGTTTTTATTCAGTCACATTGGAGGGTTTTCGAGCATGAAAGGACTGTTCAAGGTTATGCCACAGCATCTCAATCAGATTTAAGTCCAGACTTTGACTTGGCAACTCCAAAACCTTAATTTAGTTTTTTTGAGGTGGACTTTTGAGGTTATGCCCCTTACCATACTGTGATGCCGGAGCGACGAGACAAAAACATTAAAACCCATTATAAACGAGGCATTCGTTGCATCCAGTGGGGACATAATTACAGATTATAATGACTTATACTGTCTTTTTACGCGTTGCGTTGCATCGCGCCACATAAACATAAAACCATGTCTGCATTTGTGATCGGAGAAATGACAAACAACAAGCGCTACTCTACACTGCTCAAAACTCGCGTTTGAATCATCAGTGGCAAATCCTTTAAATATGAAAACGTACTTACAGTCTGTGAGTCAGAACAGCCGGCATTGTAGTCTACTCTACCAGGATCAGGAAACAGTTTTCCATAAAATGCGCTGCACACATCTGAATATTTGGGTTGAAGTGTTCTGGAACAGTGTTGTAAATACAACTTAACCACGGATTTCTAGTCATGTCCTCTTTTGGAAGACCAAACAAAGTAGTTTCACTGTCACAACAAAACACACGGCGGGCTAGAGTGAGCGGAGGCCGGAGGGCTAGAGAGAGAGTGGGCTTGACGAAGCGGATATCGTCCTCTTTTGGAAGGCCAAACAAGTAGTTTCGCTTTCACAACGAAACACACAGCGCCTTCACGACATGGCGGCAGCAACAATACTACAGCGAGAATAAAAGTTACACCTTCTTTCTTTGAGTGAACATTGCCGCAAATCTTTCCACATCGTGGGAAGCTGTTTTAGGTAGGTGTGGCTGACTCTTAACTTTTATAAAGAATATCTCTTTGGATTTGATACTTTAGTCTTTGGAACTTTACAGATCTTCTTTATGCACCAAGAGCTTGTAACACTCCAAAGAGAAAGGAAGAATTGAAATCGCATCATATGATCCCTTTAAAAAAAAAAACACTTAACAAATATGAAGCAACAAGTGGGTAATCCGTTATTAAAACAAATGAAATTGTGCAATGAGCACTGTCAGGGTGAGTCATAAGCAGCTGGTTTACCCTACAGAAAAACTCAATGCACTTTTGAGGAATTGCTCATGACGTTCTCTGACTAAGCAAACCAATTCATGTTAACCAATCCACATCGTTCAGCACACGAGCACAATCTCGTTTTAAACCGCCCCTGCTGTTGAGCAAGCACTGCAGTGGACAGACAGACTCCAGTGAGTTTCATATTTTTGTGAAAGTGTGCAAACGTGAGCAATGTCTACAAACAGAGAGGGAATGCACACCAATCTCATCGACGGACCTGACGATGACTGCAGCAGTCCAGAGGTGCGATATTCAGGTATGCCAATCACAGCATTTGCTGTATTAATGTTTACAGATACATTGTGTGTAATGTACACTGAAAAAAATGATTCATTGAATTTACTAATTTTTTTTTAAGGTAAGTGGTTGCAATCAATTTATTTTAGCTACATTTAAATAAACAAATTTAGTTGCCTAACTTTCAAAACATTTTTAAAATGTAGCTAAAATAAATTGCTTGCAACCACTTACCTTAAAAAATGTAGTATCATTTTTTTCAGTGTATCTTCGATCCTTGTAAGGCAGTAAATAATAATGGGTATGCAGTATGAAGAGTTTATTTGCAAAAACAGATAACTGTTATGTTATCATGTTTATATTGTGTTTTATTGTGTTAGTTATTTACCTAATCAAATTACCCAATTGGAATGCACAATGAAAAAACATGATTTTTGAAAGTTGTTAAAAACGTTATCTGTTTTTGAAAATGAATTCTTCATATGTATGTATATGCATATACATATATACATGGACGTGTTGGCCAATGCTTTGGAAAAAAGTTAAATGAGTTAAATCACAGACATTAAATGAAAAGCGTGCTCTCTGATATTCACTATCTGACCATGTGTTTTTTAATGGTTGATTCTTAAATAATTACATTGCTGAATATGAATGTTCGTTCCATTTTTGGACAAATGTTTAATCTCCGATGCTGCAGCTGTGTAAATGTTTAAGAGGTTTTATGCTAGAAACTCCAGCTTGACAACCATCCACCATTATTGGATAGCATACTGATCAATACTCTCAGGGTTTGAGTTAACCTGGCAAAAAAAAAAAAAAACTGTAAATGATTCACTGAAATGGACAACATGTATTTCAGAAAGCATTCTAAAGTTTACCTTTCTTGTCAAAAAAGTCATGTGAACATGCCTCATTTATTTACCATTGTGTACTGTAAAATTGTTGTTATATTGTAAATCCAGTTGTTTTATTCGTTTCTTTCTAGTATTGCAGAACCCAGATAAAAGCAGAAAGCAATTTTGCCAAGATCCCTTCAAGGTGGCAACAGCATGCCTGACTGCCTTCTGCCTCATCTTAATCATGATCCTGGTGGTCACAAGTGTTCACAGCGGTACTTCTCATTTCTCACTTACATGACTTTAGTGTGAGTGTGTTTATTAACAGGTCTGGACATTAAAACTCATTTCTAGATTCAATTGGATTTGAATCTATTCTGATTCACAAGAATTCCAATTTGGATTCAATTTGATTGAGTAGCGATGCCCATTTTGCTTATATATGAAACAAATTCTCTTTCATCAGCTATTTCTGAAATGTATACAAGGAAATGTCTAACTTGATGCATTATGGAAATGTTCGTTCAAAAATGTAAAAAAATGACACGGTTGCTAAAAACCTACATTTCTTGTTTAAAAAAAACCCTGTAAATTATTACAGTAAACATAGAAAAACTTTTACTATAAAATACTATTAAGTCTTTACTTTAAAATGTAATGTTAAATTTGATGCATTACTTTGTTTCTTTCTAATTAATTGTGAAATTTACCAGCATTTTCTAAGTGAAAATTATTTCGACACCAATTTTCTTTTTAGTGAATATGTCAAATTCTTCGAAAATTAGTTTCAAGCTTAACATCCGTTTTAAGCTTAAGTTATAATCGTAATCTTTCTATTTTTATCTCTTGAAATCCCATTTCTTTTTATACCCTATCATTAACACATTTCTGCTTTCGTTTTTTTCTTGTGTTTTAGGTAAGGCACATTCATCTGATCAGGATTCCCCGTCCAGCGCTGCTGAATCACACATGCAGAAGGGCAGCGCTAACGTATCTGCTCTGACTGAAGAGCTGCAGGCTATGAAGAAAGAAAAGAGTGAACTGGAGAAAGAACGGATGCAGTTGAAAAACAGAATCGCTGAGCTTGGTTAGTGAGGTGCAAGTGCATGCATTTGTGCGATCAACAAACAATATCTGTTGCATTTCATAGCGTTAAAAATATTGGGTCTTTTTAGAGGCAACCCCTGCAGCACGAACCACTCCATTGCCAACAAAGAGTCCCTGTCCTGAAGACTGGAAGCACTTTAACGGCAGCTGCTACTACGTCTCAGAATACCGAAGGAGTTGGTCGGACAGTCAGGCGTACTGCAAACGGCAAGGAGGACATCTGGCCATCATCCTCACAGCTGAGGAACAGGTAAGGACTGCCCTTTCATTTGCATTAATGTCATAGAGTGTGTGTGTGTGTGTGTGTGTGCAGATATATTTGCTGCATATCTAATGGCCTCAAGTAACACTGACTTTAGACATCAATATCTGTGTAAAAAGAACAGCAACTATTGGCCAAGAATATAGAAAAGAGGAAGGGATCTTAGTTGAAATGTGAGCCATTACAAAGGATTCTGAAAGTTGTTTTGACTGATTTGAATGATATTTGACCTTTTGACTTGATGAAGACGTTCATATGGAACCTGCTTCCCCGTGGATACTGGAACGCTTACTGGTTTGGCATAAGTGATGAAAAAGTAGAAGAAGACTGGTACTGGGTGGACGGAACTAAACTAGTTGGAGGGTAAGAATATCAAATTTAAATCTTTACAAGATAAAACTCTAGTGCTGGAAGTCAGATCCACTGGAGTCTTGTAAACACTTCAGTGTTATGACGCATCTCACACGGAGTTAAAACTACTGAATCATATTTTTTCATTTCTCTTTTGGATAGAGGTCTTGTGGTATTACACTGAATCATCTCATCCTTCCTGTTTGTTCTTCCTCTTTAAAAAGGAAAAAAAAGGGATCTTGCGTAAAATATTTTATATATAATATATATATAAAATATTTATATATTTTCAGTGTTTAATGGTCATTTGAAATTCAAATGTTAGTGACTACTTGGGAATAAGAAATTGATATTTTACCCTTTACATATATAATTATGATAGGGAAAATATTAAAGGTGACGACATATCATGAAAATTGGGCTTTTCCAGGTTTTAAGTGCTATAATCAGGTCCCCAGTGCATCTACCAACCAAGCAAACGTGAAAAAGATTAATCCAGTAACTTTGTTTAGGTAAGCCTTTTTCTGCAAGCGTCTGAGAAAACGAGCGCATCTGATTTCGCTCCCTTGGTGACGTTGGAAAGGGATCTCATTATAATATTACCGCCCCTTAATATGTAAGTTTCCATCCACGGCGCCGTCATTTGATTTCGCAAGCGACAACGGTGTACCAGTTCTAATGCTATGGCGAAAGTTTGAGCAAAACACGCTAACTGTTCTGTCTTTGGGTGCACAGATGAGCACAGAACACTGTTTGGA